GGAATCTATAGGGCTATATTACCCTTTGATCCGCACAAGCGCAAGAGGGGGAATTAATATGACGGAGGCCACAAGAGCAGGAGAGGCCGGGGGAAAATTAATCATACAAGCCCTGCAAGGAGAAGGAGGGGGAGCTTCCCCAGGGGAAGAGAGGAAGGAAAAACGAGCGAGAAAAATGACCTCGGTAAGATTATATATGGTTAAAAAACTCCCCGCCCAATGTTCCAGCAGACACGATATCGATAAAGTTGCGTTCAAAGAAATAGTAGTCTATATAGGACAGGGGGACAGAGGATGGGGAAGAGGAAACGAATGTAACATAACCCGGGATAAGTATCTTAATAGGGTGAAGGTGACAAGAGATCAATAGGAAATATAAGGAATAACTATGAGCTATGGGGAAAGTACAGAACTTGAGATCTCCAAATTAGAGCAGGACCTGATAAGAGATACCTTAAAGAGGAATGCGCTGATCAAAAGCAGAGGATATAAAACTATATGTAGATAGCCGTCAAGAGAGCAAAAGAGAAAGTAGACTAAATCCAACAAGTAGGGAGACAGGGGAACAGGAATGTAGTATGAGAAGTCCAACTAGCCAGAAGATCGAATAAGAGGAAAAAGAAAAAATCGAAAAGGGGGCCTCATAGAGAACAAAGAAGAATAAAGGATGCATATGGAGAAGGGACCAAGTGGAAATCAAAGAATATCAAGGGAAGAAACGAGAGCATATAGGCTGAGGCCGAAGAAGGTAGCAAAGCCTTAGCAGGAGAAATGAGGATAACAACAAATCTAGGGCACAGAGAAGTGTAACAAAGAAACAGGAGCAGGCCTCCTATATCTGGGAGCAACAAACGCAGGGACTGAGGAGTAGGGAAATTAAGAAGGAGAGAGGAAGAGGGAGGGGTGTGCAACCAGATGCGGAAACGAGATCAAGAGGCTTTAATTTCAGGGACAAAATAAGGATACATTGAAGTAATCCGGGCTATGAGCAGGGAGTAGGAATGAGAACACGAACAGACAAATCTCTATGCCCAAGTGCAGGCGGCTGGTTATTTATGGATTCCTACCTGTAGCACGTGGGAGAAGGAGGTTAAGGAGCCAGACGAGTATGATGAATAGCTATAGCGAAGAAAAAAAAGCAGATTTCCGAACGAGCGTCTTATGTTATGAGGTAATTTCGGAGGAGCCAATTCCAACAAAGTATGAGGAGACGGCACGAGTCTGAAGACTCAGGGCAAAACCGAAGAAGAAACCGAGAACAATATGAGAAAAACAGGCCCCGAAGCCGAAGACTGAACAGCAAGGACCAATAAATAACAAATAAGAGCCTTCCCCCACACAGCAACAACAGGGGGGGTCTGGTATCTGGAACGGTCCAAAGAATAGGGGAATTAGAACCCACCAAAAACGAGTAGTCCCTATTTCCCCCCGATGAATTAAAGAAAGGGGAAGCCTGATAGATGGGGGCACGGAGAGGGATTGGGGCAGGTACAAAGGAACACGCAATACAAGAGAACGATGAAATGGTCAGCAGATGAACAAGATAAAAGAGCATGAGCGGGCACAGGGGAGAATTCTTGCGAACACCTCATTAGAGTAAGCAGAACGGGAAAGGACGGTATCCCTAGGCAGCGGAGGAGGAGGAATCTCCCTAAGTCAACAGCACTAGGCAGTAAGAAGAATAAGCAACGGCAGATGCCCGAGCAGGGGCAAAGTACCGCTGGAGAAGGAAGACCCAGATATTTTGAATGCATTAGGGAGTATGAGTAGCAGACTGAAATGAAAAATACAGGGGAATGAAATTCAACAGTATTTCAGGCACAAGTGAGCCAATAAAGTAAAAAAACTAAGGAGTTTTAGGCAAAACAGGAGAAGAGTATCAGAGGCAGGGAGGGGTGAGACAACAGGTCCCCAATGAAACGAGTGAATAACTGGGAGTTACAGTACCTTCACGAAAAAATCAAGTGAACACCCCAGGAGTAACCGAAGAGGAATTAGCTAACAGCAAAGGTAGCGTTAAGACAACGTCCCCGTCCAAAACGGGTATCACAGGGGAGCACACCCTGTAAAGCCCCTGAAGCGAGGCAACTAATATAAGCCAAGGGAGGAAGTTGTATAATTTATCCCTAAGAAAGAGAGAGGAGTAATAATATTGCCAGTATATAAATGGAGTAACAAAGGAGAGGAAAATTAGGAAAAAAACTCCAAGAGCAGGAGAAGAAGAAATATCACCAGAACCAGTGCGCAGGGAATAACAGATCAGCAGCTGAGCAAGAATCGTATTAGTTGAGCACACGCCCATGAGGAAGACCTAAGAGTAAAGCAAGGCATTGAGGAGGATTGAGTTTAATGATAAGCAGGGGAGGGGAAAGAGCAGCGTGCAATATACTTGCCAGAGACAGGCAGCACTGGAAAAATCCAGTATGGTATAATATTGAGGGGGATGATCAGTGCCACGGGCAGGAGCAATTAAGCATGAGAACTTAGTGGCTTTAGAAGCCGAATAAAAGGGGGAACAAGGTTGAATTTCTAGGCAAGGGAAAGGAGGAAGGATGCCAGACTGTAGGCTATGGAATTAATTTTCTCAGTTATCGATTAAGAAGATGACAACATAACAAGTAAAAAAGGAGTCGATGCCAAGTATCCCACCAGTATATATTAAATGAAAAAATGCCTGAAAAGTACAGGCGAAATATGAGACTGCAAGGGAGTAAAACTACAATTCCAAAAGTATTGAATTAAGTGAAATGACTGAGGATTCCAGGAAGTATTTAAATTGAGAAGCTATAGCCTCCCCGAACACGAGAATACGGGGCTTACTCTATGAGACCGATGCAGCCAAAATTCCCCCCACGCCACTGAGGACCCTGAAAAGTAATAAAAAGGACGACCGAGCGAAGAGGGGTGCGAGAATATGGCAAACCAAAGATAAATGCTTGACTGGCAGCGCATTTAGAGCAGAGCCAAGGCGACCACAAAGGCAAAAAGAGGGGTGAAGTAAGCACCAGTTCCACGGAATAGGGCAATATCCTCACTCCCCGGTAAAGGATCTTGTGACCAAGAATGTCAAGAGCGAGTAAAGGGAGAATAGAGGATGAGTAAAGCGACGCCCAGTATACCTGACGAATACCCGAATATAAATACGGATCTGACTAGAAAAAAACACGAATTCGTATGGCTGGGGATACAAATGGGAATAGTGACACTTTCTTTATATCAACTGATAATAATGAGCCGAAGCATTCCAATTAGCGGCACAGTAGGAGGGAAAACCCCCGACAATCCAAGGCAGGAATTTACTGGAATCAGAGCAAAGGCAACTGGTATAATATGGAATGGAAAGCAAAGTACGTTGGTAATCTCCTAGAAGAATGACTCCTCTCAACAGCGGAAAACGGGGGCAATACACTGGCCCAAGACGATAGTCATCTAAGGAATCAGCCATGTACGCATGCACAGCGACCTAACCCAAGAGTCGGGAAGGCCCCTCCGTCAATCGTCAAGTTATGGCTGGTATAATTCAGTCTCCGAAAAATCGCAATAGGCGTCAGAATATCCCCAAACTCCCAAATCTCTCCTAAAAATCACATGCTCGCACCGGAGTTGAAGTGTAGAAATAAAGCCATGAACAGATCGGGTAGGATTAACTAGCTACCCTTAAGAGCCTTAGGGCCGAGCAAAGTATAGAGCAGACTTTACTGGAGGGCATAGCGCTGTAAACTAAGGTGGGAATATTATTAAGAATATAAGTTAGGAATAAACAAACTAAACGCGGCAATTGAGTGGGAGACAATGTCAGGGAACAGATACGCCCGGAAACTGAATCCTCCCGGAAGAGTAAAGGGGCTTTAATCTAAAACACGGAGGAGGGAAATCCGCAAGCAAACCAAGGGATGAGAGTACCTGGATGTTATGTAAGCCTGAAGCGGAAATGACAAGAGAGACAGTAAAACTCCACCCCCGGGAATTTAGAGTAACAGAGACTGAAAAGTCCCGCCCTTGAGAAATGATGGAATAGACAGCAAAATACACACGACAACTTCCTACCCGCCCCAACTCGCACTACCCCCCAGACAAGGAAGTCAGGATCAAGTATAAGTTTGGAAAAATTATTCTTTAGCGTGGGACATGCAAAAATCACTATAGGATCACCCGAATTAACACATACATCCTATAATCAACGAAGGCCTCGAAGAAATATAGTGATGAGGGGAGCGGCTGATTGAAGATGATATTGTATTAAATTTCAGTGACACCCCAGAGAATAATAGTAATCAACACGTGTAGGGGGTATTCCAATCTGGCAGACAAATAGAAAAACAACAGGAGGTGATTAGAGGATATAGAAGCCGGAGTGAAGTTATTGTTCGCTTAATCCTAGGGACCGGCCCCGTCTGACTAAGTGACACGTACCGGAAAAGGAGGTAACAATATGGACACCTATAAGAATAAAAGGAGCATCTCTCTATAAGACAACAAGGAAAAATAGGCAGCGTAAAGGGAACGGGAGAGACGAATACGCCTGCTGGGTGAAGGATCCAGAGGAGGAATAGTCCGAAGCGAGCAAATGATCTAATCCTGAGAGAAGAAGAGCGTATTTGAACCCAAAGGATGTGTAGGCCGGCAAGATCTCTTTAATCACTGCCAGGATATATAGGGCAGAAGCTAAGGAAACTAGGAGTATGAGATAACGACAGCAGTGTAACTGGGGATAGTTATTTCGCTAGTGTGGACAATATAAGACACCAGAGGAAGGATATCAGTAGCAGGGAGACTGAGAGGGAGGCAGAATGATGATAAACCAAACAGCAAGTCTACTCTGGGGAATAATCTAGGGGGGGAAATGGAACCGTAAGAAGTTTGGGGTGCCATGCCAGAAAAATGACGTGCAGTATAACAGAGGGAGTCGGGTTTTAACCAATACCAAGTAGGATAGGGATCAATCAGGCGAGGACCGGGGGGAGTCTCCTGACCGATTTTATGTAGAATTTGAGGGGAACATGACCGTCACTGAAGAAAAGGACGGAACCCCAAGCTTGTCATCAGGCAAGTTGATAAGAAGGGACACACCGGGTAAGCGCGTAATAGCAGAGGATCTAAGCACATTAGCAACCCCCACGCAGGGTTCTCCAGGGAGGAGCAACTCCCCTAAGGACGACTATCATCTCCTATGTAAAGCGTCAAGTAAGATGAGTCCAGTAATTAGACACTAGGAACCACGGAATTAAAGTTAAACCAAGGAAAAATTGCAGGAATTTTGTGAGTAACATCCAAAAACTGGTTGAATAACAACATTGGTATATAAAGATCAAATATGGGGGGAGGCAAATATTGGGTTAAGAAGGATGATAACTGAAATGGTGGAATCCTAAATCTAACATGCCGCTCGGATTCCAAGGAAAGCAATAGAACTCTGCGCCCGACACGAATATACTATCATAGCATCGTTCTAATCTGGAGGGGTCCCTCGCAGTGTCCAGGATAAGTAGAAAAGTGTGTAGGGATAAAATAAGAGGGAAGGTATCCTCACAAAAGGCCAGGTATGACAAGTGGAGAATTAAAAGATTTAACCCAATCTATTCACTCTGATAATAAATTAGGGTACCGGAAGAAACCAAAAGCTAATACAGGGGCAATGGAGGGTAATGACAGAAGGAGGGAAACCCCGGAGAGTGCATTTATAGTCTCCCTTACCGATGAAGCTAAGGGGGGCCCCAGGAAAGATTCTTCCAGGGATAAAAGTAGGCTGTGCACCTGACTAAGCTAGAGTGCTAATAGCTATAGAATTGGAGGCAAAAGGGAAGAGATTATGGGGGTCCAATACTTTAGTTCCCTTTAAACAAAGGATATCTGAGTAGACGCCTAATGAAGCTTGATGTATGAGAATCAAATTTCCAGCAGGGGGAGGAAGAAAGGCGGAGTACAATCACGCAGTAAATGTGGAAGAGAGAGAGGTACCAATAATGACACCCGTTGTAGTTAATCTGTGAGAAATCTTATTATACAAATCTGCAAACTTATGAAGAATAATAGTAAGTGACCCAGTTCAACAATGGCAAGAGAAACAAAAGCGATACTTACAGAGCGAGGAAGATAAGTAAGGGGAGGTTCTGGTAGCCATGAAGGGACCCCAAGAGCCATCTGGGTCCAGGTCGCAGGGCAATTAGGTGTGACTTAGAAGTTCAGGTATGAGAGGAAATTATAAGAGGGGCAGGGAAAATTAATACCCTACCCAGATTAGTCAAGTGTCAAGGAAAATGAATTAGCCCCCGAGTTTCGCAAAGGGGGCGAGGGGGAAGAACGGGGGCCTTAGGATAAGTGCTGACCTAAGGGTAAAATGAGCAGATAAAGTGAATGAGGCACTCTAGAAGGCTGACAGGCCGAAGCAATTCTAGAGGCTTCATTTAGTATGGATGAGGGTTAGTGGATACTTTGGATAAAGCAGAGAGCAACGGGAAGGCAAAGAACAAAGGAGCAACGGATACAAAACTCCCTAGATGTGGATAAGATGACACCAGAGAAAGTAAGTGAGGATGATGCCCCAGCAGTATCAGGATATAAGAAGGAGCAATATGAGATTGCCTATAAGGATGGTATGTTATAAAAGGGCATAGATTACACAACACCCCCCTCTATCAATTCAGCTACCCTGGAGGAATTGAGGGATGTAGAGTCGTGGATAGCCATTGCGGGGAGAAGAATAAAGGGAAGAAACAGGGAGAGAGAGTAGAAGATGGTGAAGCAGCCACACCCAGGGGGAAGAAGGAAGGGGGGAAGAGGAAGCCAACCCACCGGCGCAGGAGGAGCAAGACGGAAGAAATGGAAGGGGGGGGAAAAGTAAATAGTGCTAGTCAAGGAGCTGATAGCTCAAGTATTGGAAGGCCGAGTAAACGACCAAGGGGGCGGAGGAATCATTCTGGCTTCCCCGTAACCCGTCCATGCGGCCCCAGGAGGTGAGAATAAATAAGGCGGGATAGGGTAGATAAAGGATAGATATAAAGGATGATGAGCGGCCGGGGGGAGGTGAGATAGAGAAGCAGCAGAAAAAGGAAAGAGCAAACCTAAGTGTTAGACCGGAAACTAACAAGCCGGAAGTCCCTGCCCGGGAATAACTAGGGGGAGGCTAATGAACAACTAAGGATTGCACTCAAATGGGAGGAGCGAATCCAGAAAGAGCCAACACCGTTTGGAGCGAAGGAATTATTCCCTCACGACAGTAACTGAGCGGCAAAATGGCTATGTCCGTATTGAATGCGTACATGAATCACTTAAGGGACCGAAAGAAGAGGGACGCAGAAAAATGCCCCTCTGTGAAAAGGAACGGTGGATTATGCAGGTTAACGGGGAATGAAAACCAGATAGAAGAGGTAGACGCATGGAAGTATGACGGCAAGTCAGTCGAGTGGAACAGAACATTGGAGTCCTTCCTCTATAGAGCGAGCAAGACAATCTGCATTCAAATGGAAATGTGGATAACGACTTTAAATGAAACAGTGGGTGAGAAAGAACAGATAAGGAAAGGCAAGTGCACTTATGGGCAATTTCAGGAGAAACTGAGTACAGGGAGGGGGCTGGAAGGCTGTGGATTTAAGAGGGAGGACTCTAGTTGGGTGCAGTTAAGCGAGAGAACCAAATTGAATATGTATCAAGTGGAAGAGAGGAATTTACAGGTCTGTATGGACATAGTGAGGGTAATAATGCTGGGGTTAGGTTTGAAGCAGCAGGGGTCACAGATAAGAATTTCGGAAGATGCAGGTACTGACCTCTGTGGAAGAGTGTACGATGAGTTAAGGAAATGGGGTGGGGAGGAGATAGCAATAGATATAATGGCAAACTGGTTCATGGTCGAAGGATTACCCCGAAACTTTGAGCAAAACCTGAAATTGTCAGGCCGCGACCTGTTCGAAATGATAACGGAAGGCATTACTAAACCCGATGGAGGGATAAAAGGAATAGTCTGTACCTATCATAGCACTGATTCTGCAGAAGTTAAAGGAGGAGCCGTAGCCTTCAAAACGGGACGGTCATCAGATACTACGTGGGATTCGTGGACCGCCCCTTTACCCGAGAGGGAGGATGAAGGAGAGGAAGTCAGACCAGAAGTAACAACGTCTACAGCAGGGACCAACCACTCTAGTACAAGTTCCCCTTCAGAGAAGCAGCCATTCACTTCCCTGACTACCAAACCCGACCATTCAAACTCTGTTACCTGGGGATTAGTGGGCGGCGGAGTAGCCGCGGTATTGGGATTACTGGCCTTTTATGGCTTTAGCCGAATATGGGGGCCGAGGATTGGCGGAGAACCTACACGAAGGAGGGAGGGCCACAGGAGTAAGGCACTGTCGTACAAGGTAAGTGAACGTCTGGAAGTAACCTAAAGAATATCGGGTGGATGCCGGTTACGTAAACAGGGGGGCACTACCCAGATGAGTCCAAACTACCACTGAGCCTGAACAGGTCAGGCTCAGACTGATAATTGGCTCCCAACGAAGAGAGAAGTGCCACAACTTTTAATGGGGATAAGACAACGAGGAAAACCAGGATATGCCTGTCTCCTAGCGTGACAACACGTCGTGCCGCGGATTGTAGGGGGTCAACCAACTGTGTGCGGAGGTAGCCTCTAACTGGAAGCAATGGAACCCTCCGGCTGGGGAAAGGGGAGATGGTTCCGTCCGTGTGTTTACCGTAAGGCATATCCGGACCTGGAGTTTGGGAGGGTTGGTTACAGGTGGAGGGTATAGCATCTCTCATGGTGAGACTACGGGCGGGGCAGGGGCACGGGGTTTCGCAGTCTGCGTTTGGTACGCGAAGGAGTATGGGGAACTAAAGTTGGGAATTTGGGGTTTCCAGTTTAGGCGTTGAGCGCCTGGAGTTGGGGGTTTGGGGTTTCGGATTAGGGCTTTAGGCTTTAGGGTTTGACGGTTAGGGTCTGCGGATTGGCCCTCAGTGTTTGCGACTCAGCCTTTACGGTTTATTGTTTTCGAGTTCAAGTTTTAGCGTTCAGGGTTTAGGATTTAGGGTTCAGGGCCTAGGGTTTATGGTTTAGCCCTAGGCTTTAGGATTATGGCGTTAGTCCTCGGGGTTTAAGGTTTATTGTTCAGGTTTCATGCTCAGGGTTAAGTTTTACGGTGTATGGTCGTGGCCTCAAGCGTTTAGGGTTTAGGCTTCAGTCCCCAGCAGTTAGTCTCCTGCGCGCTCGGTGCATACTTCTGCCCGGGGAGCTATAGTTTAGCTCCCTAGTCTCCAGTGGCTAATGCATAGGCTTCCTCGTTTGCTATTTAATCATCATATTTATGCGGTGATCTCCATGGACAAGGCTTCAGTACAGGTCCCGATTCGGCCTTATCCTCTAATTTTTTGTTATTCACTTCCTCATCGCCGGTTCCGCCATCCTGCCTGTTCTCTACAGTTTCTCTGTTTCTTTATTCACCTTTTTGCAGTCTTGGAGAGAATTTTTCACTCTCTCCATCTCAAGGGATCGGGGTTGGGGTTGGTTAGGCTTGGATTTCGGGGATTCTGCGATGTGATTCAGATCCTACGAATTATCAAATATATCTGTTCCTTTCTCTGGATACCCCTCAATTTATGGTGTAGTCGGTTCGGCTTACGTTTCGGTGATAGGTCCTGTTCAATGGTATTAGACTACTGGGGTTAGGGCTTTGGATTCATCCTCTAAGATTTAGGTTTCGGGGGTTGTTTTCATCAGGCATGCTCCTGTTTTTTATCTTGGGATTTGCAGATGTCATAGTCCTTGGATTTAGGGGGTAGTCTTCAAGGGGTAGTGTCTGCGATTTAATATTTAGTTGTTACCTCTTAAGGTGTAGCCCAGACGTGTCATTGCGTACTTTTCAGGTTCTACTACTACAGGTCCTTGTTTTTAGGTGCTTAGATTTCCACATAGGGGTACTATAAAATTTACTCACACTGATAATACGGCTAGCATGCCGGAATGCTATTCTCCTTGATTTTTGGTTTAGTACTCTCTTTTTAAGGTCAGTTTTCTGGGTTCATACTTGGAGGTGTAGGTGGTGCATGTTATTATGCATCCTTCTGTAACTTGGCTTCTACGGACGACATGCTCTTGGCTGATTTCCCGGTTTCATCCTGATGATTCAGCTTTTTCTCCCTTTCTTATCGGTGGGGTGTAATTTGGTGGCGCGGTCCCTTAGTTTTAGACTTCATATTGTATGACTTAATGTCGAGGAATCTGTTTGGTCGATTTATATTCTGTTCCCAAGCATGGAAGTTTAGTGTTTAGGGTTGCGGTTTTCCGGTTTTAAGGAAGCACCTGTATTTTATTCGTTGGAGGACTGAGGATTAGAGTGGGGGGTTTTTCCTGTATTCTGTATGGTCTCTGTTTATAGCTTCTGGGTTTAGGTTTAGTCTTTAGGGGGTACCCCTAGCTTTAAGCCCCCGACTCTTCTGTTACTTGTCGTTGCTCCTGCACTATTTTGTATTCTCTACTGTTATCTGCTGTGGGTTCCTTTCCCCTTTTTTACCTGTTAGGTGCAACTTATAACTTCCGTCTCCCTGTTGTCCAGGATGTTTGCTTTAATGGTTATTATTTCGAGACTCCCTTTTTCTATTACGACTCAATCTGTTAGGGGTTCACCTCCAGGTTGGACGCCGGATCTGTGCATTTATGCTTCAGGTTTATGGTGCAAGACTATCGCGTTAATTTCAGAGTTTATTTTCTAGGACCTTTCTGCTCATGCTTCCGTTTCTATATTTTTCTGTTATTGCCATTTCTCGTATTGTTAACTTTTTAGCTTTCATTCTTTATGCTATATCTCTTAGCCTAGAATGATTAAGTTTCCAATTTTGGATTTATGCTCTGGAGTCTGAGCCCTGCACCTCTTGTGTTAATTCCTGGCCTTTAACCTGTATGGGGCGTCCGGTAGGGCCTATGGTTCAGTTATGCTGAAGTAAGTTTCATGCTACATGCACTGTTGGGCACATGCAATGTTTAGGCGTAGAGACTGGAAATGTATATCGCTGAGGTACGTTCTCAGTCCCTGCCCATTTCCCTTATTCTATGGATTCTCTCTCTTACTGCCTAAGCTGCGGTGTTGGCCTCCTGTTTGACGCTCTAGTTTTGTTCTATTATTGCTTATCCCTTCTCTTCCTTTGTTACGCTCTTCTCTGGCTTAGGTTCCTGTAATTTTGAGGGCTGCAATTCTATGGAGTTCTCTTAAGGAGTACATTTCTCTCTATATATTCTAACTGTACTTCTTGGTTTTTACGCTGCAATTTTACGCAGTTCGGTCGCAGGGTGTAAGCACCTATCTCATTTGGGTTTTACTCATGCATTGTGCTGTCGGCTTATGGAGGTTTGGTGTTGTTTCAACTTTTATTGCTCACTCTGTATCCTTTAATATTTAGTATTAATGCTTTATTTCTTATCCCCCCTGTTTGACTTTTGAGTGTATTTGTCAGGCTCGATCCTCTATGTTTACGCCTCCAGGTTCCTTTGTATGGCCTGGGGGTTTTCTTTACCCCTTAGCGTCTATTAGTACTGTTCGATAAGTTATTTTAGGCAGGTAAGATTCACTGATTATACGCTCTTTGTACTGTGATCATCTTTACGTGCTTAGGATTTACGGTGTTGTGTTTGGACTGTATGTTTTGGGCCCTAGGCTGTATATCCCATGGCTCAGCCTCCACGGCTTATCAGTGAGGCCTTTGCTTTAGTTTGTACTGGCACCTTCTAGTCTTTATTGCTACGGTTAATTTTTTACATATGCCTCCTTATTTCTGCTGCTTGTTTTTATTCCTTATCTCCTTAGCCTTAGGATCCTCTGCCATATCTTGACGGTGTACGGCTCAGATTTCAGGGCTGCGGATTCAGTTTTAGTGTGTAGGACTGATGGAATACCCTTAGTGTCTTTGTGTGTCTGATGAAGTGTAGGAAGGCTGTCGCATGCCCTAGCTTTACGTTCGTTACTGTTTCTGTACTGTGCACTGCTCAGGTGTATGTTCTATGGTTCATGCTGCTAGGTTTTTGGGTGTATCTGGTCCTATTATTTTTCAGGATATCTCCCCGAATGTTTCTGCGTTAGGGTTCATGTTTAGGTTCTACAGGTATTAATTTCTGGCGCCCCCTTGGTATTGCCTGTGTTTTACTTTTTATGGTGTTGAGATCTGTTGTATTAATTGGTTTCCAACGTGGAGTTCTTGTGTGGTATGAGGTTTAGGGTTCAGGGTTTAGGTGTAGGTCTCGGAGTTCAGGGTTAAGTGTTTAGAATTAAGGGTTTAGGAATCAGCGTTCAATTTCCAGTCTTTACGGCTCACGTGGCGAGGTCTCGCGTCCAGGATTATGGTTAAGCTCCTAGGGTCTAGGGTTTCCTCTTCAGGGTTTAGGGATCAGGGTTTAGGTCTAGGTTGGAGGGTTTATGTCTGGGGTTCTCGCTCAGGGTTTACTGTTTAAGGTTCAGTAGTAGGTTTTAGACTTTAGGCTCTATGGTGTAGTGTTCAGGGTTTAGTCCTATGTTCAGGCTTGAGGGTTTATTTTTAGCGTTCAGCTTTAGTGTCCAGATTGTAGGTTCAGGGTTTAGGGTTCAGGTTTTATTCTTTAGGGGCTTAGGGTTTCGGCTCATTTTTACGTTTTAGGGTTTCAGATTTAGGGGGCAGGTCTTGGGGTCCAGTTTTTAGGTTTAGGGTTGAGAGCTCAGGTTTACCGTTTAGGGGTTAGACTTAACCTTAGGGTTTAGGGGTCAGGGTTCAGGGTTTCGGATTTAGGATTGAGGGTTTAGTGCTTATGGATTAGGTGTTAGGGTTCAGTGTTCACGTTTCAACACTTATGTTTCAGGGTTTAAGGTCTAGGTGTCAGGTTCACGTTGATGGTTAGTGTTTAGCTTAGGGTCCAGGGGTGTTTGTCTAGTGGTCATGCTTAGTTTTTAGGCCTAGAGTTTAGGGGTCAGGTGTCAGCTGGGAGGATCTAGTTCTACGGCTCAAGGATTAGGGGGTATGGTTTACGGTCCAGGTGTTACTTTTAGCCTTCAGGTGTTTAGGTTTAGCGATTAGGGTCCAGACTCTACGGTTCAACCTCCAGGGACAGGCCTCAGGGGTCAGTCTTATGTTTTAGGGTTTAGGGCTTATCCTTAGGGTTTAAACCTCAGGGATGATTGTCTATGTTTCACTGTTTCGTTTCCAGGGATTTGGGGTCAGGATTCATGGTTTAGGGTCTAGGGTCTAATGATTAGGGGCTTAGTGTTTACGGGTTTCTGCCTCGTGGCGGTGTTTTCAGGGCGTCGGTCTCAGTGTTTATTGCTCTGGCTGTACTGTTCAGGGATTCGCAGTTTAGTGGTTACGGTTGAGGGGCTGCCTCCAGGTTTAGGTTCAGATGAGACTTCTTGTGTTTCAGGGGTCACGATTTCTT